GGATTGGATTTAGAAAAAGACACAGAGAAATTCATCCATATAAAACAAATGTCTTTATGTGGTTGGAAACGATTTTCAGTGCGGTTTAGTCCACCATTCGGGAAGCTGTTTATTTAATGCAGTGACAAGATTTCCTCGAGATTTTATTCTTCAGGAATACATAAAGTGTACATCTTCTTGGTAACAAGGTTTTCTGCAATTATTTTAATGTAGGTAAACACAGTTTAATAGGAATATTGACTGACTGCAGGCCACAAATCAAACCAGAGTCTTCGAGATTAAAGTGAGCACCCTCCCTCCCCTTATTTTAATATTGTTAAAGTGATTTTCTTTCACCCCTTTTCCAGTTATGTTTTAGAAACTATTGTACTCATAATTCAGATCTACTCCCTGTGGTGGAATGATAAACTGTCAGTGAAAATAATATCACCACAAAATGAATTTCCTACTTGCCTTTTTTTTGTCTCCATCGGAACCTGATCTTGGAGGTTACATTTAGTTTAAGGTGCGAGTGAAGGTGAAAGTGGAAAATCGGTTTGTGTGGGTCAGCTGACCAGTAACCTGGGTTCACCAATGACTGTTTTAGGTCAATGGTCTGGGAATATGTCTGTTTTAGGTCAATGGTCTGGGAATATGTCTTTTCCCAAAAGACGGGTGTTTTCCGACGTGAAGGGCACTATACGAGTGTAATTTTTGGTTGTTGTAGTTTTTCTTGTATATTAGGGCGGGGCGAAACCTTAGGCAAATTTCCTTAGTCCACGCGCCTCTGTTTACCTAGAGGTAAGTTGGAACCTTACTGGTCATTCAATCCACAACTGTTTGTGGGACACTGCTGTGCACAATTGGTTGTCGCATTTCGCCCACAAAATACACGGTCAATCCACTTTACAATATATTTTGTGAAGCTCTTTGAGATGTCTCAACGACGCGACAAGGCGCTATATCAAATGCAAGAATTATTGCTATCATTACTATTATGCGGGGTAAGCTATTATGGCTTAATATATATTATATTATAACTATTATATTATATTATGACTATTATAGCGGGTAGTCACAGCGTTACCCAGACTGGTTTCCAACATCACGTCCACAATGTGCTTCAGAAAGTTTTGCATTACTGCAGAGTGGCTGATGCCCTTCAATCATAAATTATAAATGATCGCATGAGAGAAAAGTACGATTAGAGTGCGATTGAAAAATAAAAAGTGAAAGTGATTGAAACGCTTTGGGTGAATCTTGGTTTTATAAACGTAAAGTGGTTATATAATATCGAACGACTGGGGTTAGTCACATCCTTAATCGGTGGATCTGTTCGGTTCAGGAATACAGTAATTAACCTAGCACTTGCTGTGTGCTGAGCAAAGTGGGTCACACACAGTGTGGGTCTGGCTGGACTTCTGTTATGCAAGACCAGTGAGGAATCCGTGCCAAGGGCATTTGCTCTACCTCTGTAATGTCACACTCAAAAAGCTGCTGGTGAATTTATATGCAGTATTTAAAAACACACACCGGCTCACCAATGTTAATTCACGACTCCTGAATTTATAAATAACTGCATGAATTTTCAAAGGCTTGCATATCAAGTGATCTGTCTGTATTGTGTCCCTGGGCTGTTTGTTTTGCTCACATTCCCTGCATTGTCCCTTTTCCACAAGTGATCTTTAAGGAAGGCCGTTTCGTTTCATCTGCTACAATTAGCGGCTTAAGTAACTCTATATTCCCACGTCTCTCACCAGAGGCAGAACAAGAATGTTTAAGGTATTTCCCAAGTAATCGAACATACAGTATTTGAATTTTTGCACGGGCAATTTAGAGTGTTTTAGTTTCCTCCAACAAAATATTTAGTGAATTATAATTATATTTGCCTGCACCAGCATCTCAGTCTTCAAACATTGCATAACTGTTTACCTTATCCCAGCTTTCTCTTCTCTGCATTTTAATTTTCTGTGTGTACACGTTTGATGAATCCCCAGTCTTTTATTATGGAGTTAAATTTGTCAAATGTGTCCAAAAAAATGTGTTCCGAATGTATTTTTATCTTTGTTTATCTTTGATCGCTTAGTCTGTATTCTTATCCTGTTTATCTGATCTCAGCTGAAGAGACCGTTTGCTGGAACAATACTATTCTTCGGTCTGGTAAATGAGAGAGATTGCAATTTTTGATTTGATTCTCATCTAAACCTTCACTTGTGCGATTAAAGAAGTGATGTCACTGGTTTCATGTCATTGTGTGCATTGTTCGGTGGGTGTGATTGAGGACAATTGGCGTCTATTATGCACCATTTATAAACCATATTATGTACTAAAATATTATGTATTAAATATTGTGTGTTAGGTGCCACATATAAAGAATGTCCATATTCATTAACCGATGAAAGATTTTTTGTAATTATACAATGAATGTATCCTGTTCATCAGTTGTTAATTCTTGAACATAAACACCTTTAATTTCCTGTATAGTCAGTGTTTAACGTGGCCCCTAACAGATCCCTATTTGATGTGTGTTATTTTAACCACATGTGATATAGATGTTTAAACTGATGGCATCAAACTGTTTTTTCCCCCCTCTCTGTTGCAGTACAAGCAAACAAGAAAGAAAGATTAAGGTTTATCAGAGTACTCTAGCTCATTACTTTAACTCACAATCAGAGTGAGAAAGGCAAAGTGTTTCTCAGAGTGATGGGGAAAGGGGTTTAGCCTGAAGTATGCACATTATCAGCTGCTCTTGCAAAGCTCAGGACTGTAGTTTTTGACAAAGCGAGTAATTTGGGCTCAGACCTCCTACCGAACCCATCTTAATATCTTAATATCGAAATTTTATTACTGCACAACTGGAATCAAATGTTTCTTTGGTCATAAATAGTGCACCACATGCACAATGAATCCGTGCTAATCGATTTATGTTTTGCAGTGAGGCGTCACGAAAAAGGTTACATTTGTAGAAGATGTGAATGCATGTATTCCTTGGGAAAACCTGTATCAAATGAATTGTCATTTACGTGCCGTGAGGAATGTATGTTCAGTGTGTTTTATATGACAGGAAATCAAATGTACATTTAATCGCGTTCAATACAGTTTGCATATGAATCAGTTCAGAACCAAAGCTAATAAACAGGCCGTCCAAAACAGGGGATTTGTGTGCATTCACGCACCAGTAAACCAGACAGGAGTCTTTTCAATATTCATGTATTTTATGATTTAATTTGATTTGGGAGATATTCAGGGAAGGACTGAAATAAATAATAAAAAGTGCATCCCTAATGTTTTACCCTTAAAGCTGTGTGGATCCCAAACATCGTTTTAGTTCAATCAATACAACACAGGAGTACTAAACTGGCAATCCCAAAGGTGAAACAGACTGAGAATTTAGATTTATTTGTTTTAGTTTACTCGCAATTCACATCCTTGCTGGTAGATTTTGTGACATTGTGGGGCAGGACAGATTGTGGTCATTATATTGTAACTTTTTAACCCCACACAGTTCTACATTTCTTCTGGTGATCACAGTGAATGCGTGTGAGAGATCAAGGCTTTCAGTCCTAAGTCAATGTTGAATGAACATGACAGTGAGGTAACGCTATATTCCAAGTGCTGTTTATTTTTGAAAGCTGATTGCCACAAAACGTTAGTATTTGAGTTAAACAGCAGATTTTTTTTTGCAAAGCAAAGAACGAAGTCTGTTTAATAAAGGTGAATCGTTAGTGCTTCTGGCGTTTTATTGGCAAATTGAAAAGGACAAACTGCATTAATTTCTCTGAACACTGGAGTATTTGAATCACATCAGTGAAGATTTGATTTATACATTAATTGCAAAGCATTACAACCAGAAAATATATATAAAAAATGAAACTGCAATATAGTATACTACAAAGCAACCACGTTTTTTGTGAGAAGCGAGACAGGTGTTAAAGATTAATCTTACAATTTTAATGTATTATAACTTTCTCGTTATGCGACTGCAACAGGATACAATTTCAGTAGCTCATTTTTTTGTCATACAATATCAAAATCAAATCAGAGTTTATAAATTATCATAACAATACACTTATGATGAATGTATAATATGAGATGTATAAACAATTTGAATGTTTATACATTCTGAGAGAGTTTCTAACAATCACCATGCTCATCTTGTCTAATATTTTTGCCTGGATATCAAAGGTGATGGATCTTAGTGTTTGGTAATGAACCACTTTCGTTAAAAAAAATTGGGTATCCCTATTCACGATCAAATACTCCCAGATCAGGTATTGAACAGATTCCATAATAATCCACCTCTATTCTGCCCCCAAAATGTACCTAAGCCCATGCCTCAACTCAACAGTAACTCCAATGGCACCGCTTGTTTTTCTTTCAATTTCCCACACCAGCCATTCCATGGCCTCACTGAATGAATTTGCCATGGGTTAAATTGTCCCAAAGCGTGGGCAGTTTGTACTGTGAAACTGGGCCGTCCAGAAAATTGGTTGAAGTGGTTTCCAACTCACTTCAGGTAGAACCCAGTCAGTCTCCAGAAATCTGTGGAGGAGACATTAACCCCATCAGTTTGAGCAGGACTCGGGGAAAGAGCCACTGTGCCATCCAACCCCTTGTTCCTAGTCTCCTTACGCACAGTGTAGTTTTGATTGTTTTTTTAAATAAAAAACGACTTTTGTACAATTTGTTTTGTCACAAGGATTTTCAGAAAAGGATTGCTTTTGACCATGATGTTTCTTTATTACTGGAGGAGGTGACAGGGCTGAACTCTACAATGTGCATGAGGTTAGAGATTAGATTTAGCCTCCAGCCACTGAGGTGGCTGTGGCAATCAAGCAATGCATGATTTTTGTTCTAATGTCACATTTAGCCAAGTTTGACAGAGTTTAGTTTGTACAAAACATGTATTGCACTACTCCAAACTACCTGTGCAATTTCCTATTCACACAAATTGCCAAAAAAAATCTACACTACTTTTCCCATGTTAAAATATCGAGAATGAGACACGCAGATTAATGAGCTTTTAAAGTACATCTCCAAAATTTTAATGACCAAAGACACAAAACATTCATACCATTTATAATGATGAACATCTTTAGTTTTATTTATGTATAGTTGCTCAGTCACGTGTATATACAAAACAGATGTATAGAGTATCCACATGGCAGCAGACCATAGGGTTTTTTCCCTCTTATAAGCAAGTCAAAAAAGCACTCCTCAATAAGTGCAAAGAAACTGCAATTCAAGCGGTTCTTGAGCAGGGCAGTACAGGCACAGGACAACAATGAGCTGGACTGATATCCAGACGCACACACAATGATTGGCTCTAACGGAGTGTCAAGAGTAAGCATCTACAACAGATTTAGCAGACTCCATGAGTAACCTTCAACATGCCAGCATCTATTAAACTGTACAGACAATGGCAGCAATGCTATTGTAGGAAGATTCGTCTCGCATCAGAGCAGTTTGGGGGCTAATGCATGGGAAAAACTTTGAGTTGCCAAACAGAACAGATTTACCCATTCACCACTCAATGAAGGCATGAATGAAAGCAGGGAACAGCTGATCTACGTGGAGTGAATAAAAGGGGAGTGGATTAATTTCAAAGCTTCTAAAATTTATAGGACCAATTCTATTCCATACAGTAGGTAATATGAGTGAAGAGTGTATAAGTTGTAGACAGGTGTTCAACCCTCTTTCTGTTGTAATTAGCTGTTTACACACAAAGGGGAAAATAAAACAGTTGACAAAAATTTACAAAACTATACTGACAAACTTTTGTTTTCTTACTCAAATCCATGCGCATGCCACAATGATACTGGCAAGACCTTCCCATTAAAATATTCACTTAAAACCATGGGAAAAAATCAGGAACACAAATCAATCGACTTTCAGGGGGCCAACATGCCTCTTTTCCTAGGGGATCCGTGTTTGGGATTGCTCATTGCTCCAAACACATTGAGTTGAATATCACAAATATCTAATCGCTGTTTTGCTCCCCTCTATCCACCAATTATAGACGCAACGCAGTCTGCAGGCAGCGCCTATTTCAATGTTTATAGCACTCCGCAGTGCTTACACTACAGTCTGAAGGCGCTATAGTATATCAACACTGTCCTAATATCATCCTCTTCCATCCCAACGTAGATCAGTAAGTTTAAACAGCTTAATCGAATCCAGAAATTCTACTGTATTCAATTATAAAAGATGTAAGAATCGAATTAATACTTTATCAAACACTATTTACAACATAGGTTGCTAATAATACAGAATTTAAACAATGTATTATTTTTTTTTCCTTTTGCCCCCCAAGAAGGGACAAATCAATGCACTAAACTGACACTAAATGTTATGGACTATTACAGGATACACAGTATCCACTGAACACACTGATCCTTATTTCCCTGCTTGCTGTCAATTTTTTAAAAAAACACATAAAGTGTGTGTTGTTCAATGTCCTGCATTGTTCCCAGTTCTTATTACAGTCCTGGAAAGTATGTGATATAACTGTGTAAAAATGAACCAAATGTAGATTACAATGTATCACAAATCTCATGGAGCAAATTAAATGGTCAGAAATGAATCTTGTGCAAAAGAATCAAGTTAGTTTTTTTTATATACTGTATAACAGTCCAGAAAAAAGCAATGATAACAACTTGCAGTTGATTCTAATCCAGTTTTTTCAGGAAATAAAAAAAATGCAGTATTTTTACATTCTCAGTTCGTTTGTTTTTCAATCGTGGAACATGGGTGTTGAAACTGCAAGTAAAAACGGTTGTCTGTAGTGCCCCAGAATCGATCTTTTAACACGTGAAAAGTAGCCCACAATTACAAAAAGAAACAGCATTTCTAATCTACATTTTAACCCCTGTTTCACATTGTCCTGTAAAAAGCTGGTAGTCTACCGCTAACTGACCCATTCCTCACTTACGCAGTGTTTCCCATTCATTTCAGACATTACTGAGTGTACACACACTTTCTACAAAAACACAAAGCCCCGCTTGTAGACTAATGATACAGAGGAAAGGTGTTCAAAACACAAAATACTGTACTACAGACCGTGTCAGTGACTGCACCAGTTTAGGGACTCTCCCTTCAGAGACACGTGTTCAATTATAAACTCCCGAGAGATGGGGTTATATCTATTCGTAATATCTTCCCTCCAGTTCCCTCAAGACATGGTGATACGATGCCTTGCGTGATCATCTTACGGTACTGAGTGAGAAGGTATAAATATTGCATGGAGTAGTAAACCCCTCTTGGGCTTGTGTTCAATTTCCTTATTCTTCAGTGACCTCATCTGCCACTATTGTTTCTCGTCTGCACTTGGATGACGAGTGCTAAGCCACCTAGGGGTATTTTTTTTTACAAAAAGAAGGAACGTGCAGGAAAATAAGAATCATTAGTCTCAAAATATAATTTGGCATTTTTGGGGGGTTTATCAGTTTGGATATATCATCCCTCTTGAATTGCTCTCTACTCTCCTGACAGAATATAAATCTTATGTCTGGAATACACTGAATGTCCCCCTCTTCAATGGAGCAGTTACAGGACCCACGATGTTTGGAGATCCGACCATGCTCTGTCCGAGGTTCCTTGGATTCCGAGCACTACAATGTCAAAAGCGTCACGCAAAGAAACAGTGAAGTGGTCAAAAGTAGCTGGGATATCCTCGCTGCTGGAGCTGCATCATGCTCACTGCGGGATGGCTCAGCTTCATGGATGGTGTCATCTGTGCAAATGGGAGTAGAGAGAGAAGACAGTGCGGTTTCAGCAAAAGACAAGTCAAAAAATATAACCTTCGGTCCTTCAGTCACAGCACAGGCACGCTCCTTGGGCAAAACTATTTCACTGCCAAGCTGTCATCATGCGCCTTAACAATCTGTGTTAGTTTTTTTTTTAATCCTAATAAGAACAATCCTTGCATTTGATATAGCACCTTACCACGTCGTTGAGACCTCTCAAAGCGCTTCGCAGCATATATTGTAAAGTGATCGACGTGTATTTGTGGGTAAAATGCAGCAACCAGTTGCGCACAGCAATGTCCCAAAGAACACCCAGGGAATGAGTGTTAAGTTTTACATTTCCGTAATTTTAAAAAGAAACAGGCCATTCTGACATTAATTAAATCAAATGGGAAAATAAATCAATACAGCTTCATGCAGAAAAGGAGTGTTAGGTGATAACACTGATAACAAGGGGGCTTAAACTATTTTAAACAAGAGAATATTTAGGCTGTTAAGTCATAATAATGCTTGCATTTAGTATATGCTTCTCATGGACTAATACAAGTAATGATTGGTGCAATTTTCCTTTTGTTTACAAAAAATACATGTAATGATCAATATTGATAGCTGGTTTTCTGATCAAAAATAGTTAGGAAAGCTTTTTAATAGCAACTCTTCCAAAATCGTGCTGAACCGTGAACTTAGTACATTAGGCAAGTCTTTAGGTATTATTACTGATAATATTTAAAACAAATTCTATGCGGTTTGTTTACTGAAACTATACAGTTTCGGGTTGCGCCTGAAGACCTTCCTGTTTGACCATGCCTGTGGCCACCTTCCCCTCTCCCAACTCGGCATTGAGCTCCACCATTGTTAAGCGCTCTGAAATGCTGCCCGGCGTGGAGGGCGCTATATAAATGCAAGTTGTTGTTGTTTTCTACTTTACAAAAAATTGTATTGAATTGAGGAGACAACTAAGAGAACACCTCAATGAGTTACTACTAATGCAATCACAATGAACTATATTTTTCCAGAAACTGGCAAGGGCAAAATTGCAAAGGGAGTGCATTTATCCTACCAGACGCGGTTAGTTACGAGGAATAATATAAATATTCTCCATTCTTTGCACAGAAGATACAACCTAAATTACTGGCTGTAAATTCTTTGCAACGAAAAAAGACACTCTTAATTCCTCTGCAGTCCCAGAAAGTAATGTTAGTGTGGTATCTGTTTACTGTTTTGTCTCTGGTCTCTGAATCAAAGCCCATTATTTATTGGTTCTTGGGAGGAGGAGGGAATGTTTTCGTTCTTAAATATATACAAATAGCAGTTGGAAAAACTTAAAATTTGAATCCCCCCCCTCTCCTCCTTTGGACAATGAAATCTCTGTCCATAACATCAGTCAGTGAGGCATCTTTGAATGTTAAATAGGATTTCACATTCACATTGCACACCAATAAAGGAGAACAATTACTAGTAATCCTTGCTTTTGACAACTACTTCAGTTTGTTTACTGGTATTTGTCAATGTTGTTTAATTTGAGTAAAATGATCACTAAAATTTCAGAGCAAGTCTGCACAGTGCCAGAAGCCACAACATATTCCAATACGTAACAGTCTAGTTTTTCAGGGATAAGGTGTGGACATCTTGTCTTGTTATTCCAAATTATAATCTTTTGTTCCCTGAGATACAAAACTGTGGACTCCTATCTTTGATGTAGCTCAGAAGCCAATTGTATTCATTTTGTTGATGTAAACTCGAGTTTACAAATTTTGCATAGGAAATGGGGATGAATTTCCATGATGTACGGATTTATTATCATTGTGGTTGACAGTCTTAAGTAAGACAAATGGATATATTTTTAAAAGAAAAAGGGTGACTTAGATATTTCCACATACTATCAGACCCTGGAGGATAGCTTTCAATTGACACTCTTCCGGGTAAGAGATGGGGGGAGAATTTGGTTTGGACAAGATTATAAGGAAATACAATGCCAATTACACTAAAACAAATTGTGTACAAAACAGATACCAGATACAATTAGAGTAAAAAAACAAATGAAGTTTGGACAAGATGATAAGAAAAATCCAATACAAATTGTACTGTATTCAAAAAAGCATTGTGTACAATTACACTAAATTGCAGGTCATTTAAGTTTAGTCCTAGATTCGTATTCATAGATAATTGGGCACAAATGTCAAGTGTAAAGGAACAGAGTTTGATTCCATCATTGTGGACTGGATTCAAACTCAGTTTTCAAGCTTGGAGGTCAAACTCACTGTGCCACTCAGGAAAAAAAATGACAACAGTGGGTCTTCATTTTTTATGTTGCATTTGCTAAAATATCAGCAGCAACAGTGGGTAGCTAATAAAATCATATACACTCAAGAGACATAAATGTTGGTGGCAGACTTTAATGAAAAGGACCCATTAAAATACAGAGACATGTCAATATGCTCCAAAAGATTGACTTAGTATTTTTGTTCAGGGCACTGAAATAGGCAGACAGGAAATCCACCAAACTGAGGTGGATAATGTGACGATATTGTGCATAAACTGACAATATCATCATGAACACACTATCTACATAGCACATGAGAGCTGTATGCAACCCCCTTCAGTTTTAGAAATACTCCCCCCTCCCCAACATATCAATTGCAAAATTGGTTAGTTGCATGCTTCAGTTTTCATCATTTGTTAAGAAGTTTAAAGCACTAAGTGAGACTGGATGATCATCTTCCTTTATTTAGTCAGGCATATTTTTAAGTTTTTTATTTTAAACAAAATGCAAAGCCAACAAGTAAAAAAATTAATGGGCAATAGAAATATTGCATTAACTGGATATACTGTCTCAATACATCACATGTATTAGGCAGAACATCCATTTTCATAAAGACTCAAATTATTTTATTTAAAAACATGCCTTCAGCTAACAGCAGTAACAAATCTGGCACACCATGCAAAAAGGTTATTGCATCATTCTGTTGCAATATACACAGAGAACGTTAACAAGGATATCACCATCGGGAGGCGGGGGGGTGGGGGAGGAGGGGGGGAATTAAAAAAAGGTTTCAACATTGAACCCATGCAGGGCATGCAGACTGTTCAATTACTGGATAGAAGAAAGAGGGGAGAGACGCACTTGTTAAAAGTATCTCTAAGCATACTAACCTGCTGGTTCTAATGAACTGTCTACTCTGTCGTTAGGATCGAAAACACTTTCATGTACACCTACAGTTTTCGAACAGCTGTCTATAACAAAAATAGAAATAATAGCCAAATATGTTAGTGTGACATTGTTTATTTCCCTTTTGTTCTTTCTCCTTTTTTTTCCCACTTTTTGCACGTGCACTTTATGTACAAGCCAAAAGTGCGGTTGCATTCGTCCATTTGTTTTAACCAGGAATACTCGCAGAAACAACAAGTTAGCAACTGCTGTAAAAGCTCAGTGGAGAATGATAAGAAAAAGGAATACGATGAAAACCAAACCACAAAAATGTGGTGTGCAGAACAGATACCACACGAGATTACACGGTTCAAAAGAAAAGTAATTTACCACTGTTTACACTACTGTATAAAGCATGCGCTTTAATGCTAGCTTTTGAACCCCAGTGCAAGTCACTTACTTGATTGTCGCACAAGGACTTTGAGTTTTAAACAAGTCTTCTTTCCATTATCTGGGATAGCTGAAGCTGTAAAATACGAAGAGAAATCGATAAATGAGATCAGTGCTCACTCCGCTGCACCCCAAACCATATTCTCCTCACAAAAAAAAGCATTACGTCTTAACATTGTAAAGCATAGTATCTGAAATCTGTAATTACATCCATGACAAAAATGAAGTAATACACACTGTCCTTAAAGAAACTCTGCACTATGCTGAATGTAAATATATGAACAAGCTTTGCAGTAACATGATGAGCATATTACTAAACATAATACAGCGATATTTCCAGCCAAATATATTGCTCTATGACTGAAAGTTTTAATTCATGATATTTGATGCTCTAATGAAAAAGCAAAATGTTTTAGAAGATCTGTGATCCACAAACGTAATGTAGTGTTATTTTAATGATGCAAAATAAAGAGTGGAACACTTTGGCGGAATTGGTTCCTTGAGTTGTTTTTCCTTCAAGTGTCACTCACTCCACATAAACACTTCAAGATGTATAATCCTTGTAACAAATCTCCTTTTGGAACATACGCTTGGCTCAAAGCTCCCACTAAATCACTGCACTAAGAACTGCCTCCTCCAGCACTAAATGAAAACGCGGAACGTGCTATTAGAGCACATTGTTTGAGGTTTGTGGTTACAGACAGGAAATGACCACTTTCCTGTGAGCCTCGTTCTCCCTATATTACAAGCAGCCTTGTGTGGAGCTAAGGGACTATTTAGTTGTCCACAGGAAATCTAATAAAAGCCAACTTTCACAGATTCTGGGTGCAGGTTAGACAATACCTGATATTCTCAGTATTTCTCACATATACCCTTTTTAGTATATGTACAGCGTAATATATATATTTATATATAACATTTTTAGACTTTAGGAGATAAAGGAAATTAGAAGAGATAAAGAATTGCTAATGACCTCCCCACCCATACACATAGAACCAGACAGGGTTCTATAGAGATGGGGAGAACTTCAGAAAGTGAAAGGTGCTATACTGTCCTGAAGGAGAGATGGAAAGGAAGTTTGCTGGCAACATAAAACAGCCTGAACTGATGCCATTGGAAAGACACGAGCTAAATAAAATGTATATTTTTAAATATATGTGTATGTGCCTGGACAATTTCAAAAGTAGAACGTTTACATAAAAGCTTTTATATGAGGATTGCACTTCTGGAACTGTCCAGAAACATCTTTGTTCCAAAAATTCAAATATGCTTCGTTACTTTGACAGCTCACTGCAGCCGTTCTGCTTGCATACAGGAATCATTGGCTTGCAAGGAAAGGAACACAATAGCCTTATATATATGTATATATCCAGTGTATACTTGAGATTTATAGGCTGAGAGAGTGATGGCAAGGGAAAAGTATGTTGATGGTACTGGAAAAAAAACGATTTGAGTCATTAGAGATGACAAAAAGAATATAGGTCTGAAAGAAAATGTGCACAGAGAAAATGAAGTGAAGGAATCAGATGTAAAAAAGGAAGAGACATGCTGATATGAGGAAGCGACACAGGAACTTCTGAAATAGCTAAACATACAGATTAAATAAGTCAATAATGTGCCACCGTTAGTTTTCACACAAAGCAAATGTTAGTAGACGTGACTTTAGAAAAAAAAAATTATTTCAACAACAAGAAGATTACATTTGTATAGCGCCTTTCACATCGGGAGGACGTCCCAAGGCGCTTCAAAAACAGAAGGTAAAAAAAAGATTATAAAAACAGTCACAAAAGGGCTGCTCCCTAACATTGTCTAAACCGAATATTAGGCATTATTACAGTGCTTCAGTAGGCTAACATTGAGAATAAGTGAACTACATTTCTCGAGACTCCTTCTTTGAGACTGGATCAATCAGTCTTTGTCAGGCTCTGTTCCCCATTAACCTGCTCTGTGGAGAGATCAGGCCTCTCTCAGAAAGGAATCCAACCTGTCAATACCAAGTCTAACCCTGAAAGATAACAATTCAGATGAAAGCTTCAAGCTGAACTCCAGATATCTGTGCTCTCCTTCTCACTGTTAAGACGTACCATGCAAGCAATGACCTCAAGCGTTTGTTCCAATTTATCACTGACTAGCCAATTATAATTTCACAACCTCAATTGTCTTTTAGAAAGCAAGTCAGAAATAGCTTTGGAGTCCCTGGAAATTCATAAGCTCGGTGCAAATCTGCATTTAGCAATACAAATATACTTAATATTCAAGCTGCAATTCACTAAGGGCCTTGTTAGACAAGCAAAGTGAGTGGATCCAATGACTTTGTGGAACACAACCTGCGGATTTGGGTTCAAAGTCCTTTTGATGGCAGTGTACCTGCAGAAAGATAGACTCCAGACTCTCACCTGGAACCTCCACGACCATTTACAAATCTGGATGAGGATCACATAGGTGCCTTCACAATGCACAGCCACCACAAACTCTGTGGAACTTAGCAGGTTGTCTATCTGCCAGTATCAGTGACGGCTTACAATGCCACCTCTCTCTGGGGTTACATGGCCTGCTGCTGATACTAGCCAATGTGGAATACACAGATCTAACAGGCGAGATACTAGCATTCAAAAATTATAGAACCACACCTCAAGATGAGTCAGGGTCTTAAAGAAAGGATGAAGGAAAAGCTGTAGAAATCCTATCAGACAGCTTCACAAATCCCCTTAATAATGAAAAAAAATCCTCACTGGTTGATAAATCAGCAACAAAGGTGGAATAAATTCGCTGACAGAGTGGAGGGGGTGTTAGAAGAAGCATTTTGTTGCAGATGGCTATTAGAACATGGAATGCTTTGCCACAATTGAGGCTGAGACCATAACCTAGAGACTGGAAAAATATTTGAAGAGAATGAAATGAAATGGGTATAGGGAAAGAGAGTATAATTGGGATTAGAGTTGATAACTCCAGTGGAGAAACCGGTAATAGCTGTGTGGTGCCAAATGCACTCTTTCTATGCTGCTATTTCTATGATTCAGTGATCTAGATTTCGAGATTGTGTTTAATCTGGGTGTAGGTAATCTGGATTACATGATAGCTCTCAATATTCATTCTCACCCTAACCAGGCTTTGTTTGTCCCCATCGGATGGCATTTTATTATCAACCCGTGTCAAGTGCTGGAGTAATAAATGGAGTGGCATTAGCCACTTTTGGTAGTTTGTTTGAAATTGTACATTTTTTTAAACCTGGGAACAGGAACTGAGATTTTTCAAACCAAACTAAGACTGAAGTGAATCACTGCACCATGCAGACTGTTGGCCTGACTGTGAATCAATGCTAATTTACAGTGGTGTGATATTGGACATAGATAGTGGATGTACTTTTAATATCACAGGGGTTGAATGCTGTGCAAAGCAGCTGGAAGTGATGTACAGACTGACAAGATACTTCTGGTTCCATTAACACTGTAATGCTGATTAATTACTATGTACATTCAAAAAGGCTCTAAATAATGAGACAGATCTTGTAGTCCACAACCAATTTTGGGTATTAATGCAATTTATAACATATCAAAACTCGTCATCCACTGTTTAAGTCCTTCCCTTTTATAGCTGGGAGTTTCCTAAACTATACTTATTCTGCAAAGAGGGAACATTTACTATCCAATGGGGAAGCAGATTTGCATGCCCTCTGAGAGTGGTACATTTGATGAGGATTGGAGAATAATCCTTCCCCCCACCCCCGTGTGCCTCAACTTTACAAGAAAATTCTCTACTGCACCAAAGCAAATTTTTCCCACTTTCAACCCAGTTGTCTTTCTGAATGAATGCAGTTGCCAATTTGTGGCATGTTGATGGTCAGTGTTGTGTTACAGACTCAACTTCCAGAGGCATGCTTACCAAAATCTATTTACAGCTGGCAGACAGGCAGTCAAGCGACCGAGCTGGATTCAAATCCAGATCCCAGTGCGATAACACATTATGACACTCAGTACAGTCTTCTCCCCTTATTTTCCATCAAATTCAACAGATCATGTAAATGCTACAACACAACTTCATTGTACTGGATTCTTCAATTACAGCCACATTGAAGATTTTTAGTACAGGCAACTTCATGAGAAATCCCCATTGTAGTTCATGTACCAAGTTTAATGAAAACAGATACACATATCCTACAAGTGTACAAATTGGACATGCAAACAGTTATGAAATGAGCATGGCCACTTTCAGAAACCTCTGAGTTGTTGGAAGGAGAACATTGATTGATTTCACTTGCAATTTGAATAGGAATATTCAGTTTGCTGAGATTATGGAATAATATTCATAGACAAACAGACAACGTAAATTGCATCTCTCACGTACACGAAGACAGACACACTGGCACAAAACACACTCACACCTCTAGGAAGCACAAGTTTTAAAAAAGGCTCCATTTTATCCCAGGTTTAGAAGTCTAAATGTAGCTGACATTAAGATATAAATCCTCCAGTGATTCTAATATCCTAAAACCAAATTTTTTGAAGTCATTTAAACATTTAGGACAGTCATTTAGACATCTAAAATTTATGAATGTGCAGTTTTCATTTTTAACATACTTAGCTAGTGTAGTTGACAATTTGAATCCCAACTGGGGTCTAAACAAAACATAACAGGAAACTTGATCTTCAGTAATATCACGCTGCTGCAGAAAATATAAACAGTCATATTATAACATACATAAGGAAAAAGGAATAAAAGTGTATTGAATTAGTAGCCACAAGTCAAGTATAAACAGCAGCATGGACTAGTTGGGCCGAATGGCTTATTTCAATAATTCTAAGTAATTCTATGCAGGGAATAAGTATAGAAATTAATAAACAGCAACAAGAAAATACATCTAAATTTGAAAATGCAGGATACTTTATTGTTTAAAAATGATTTAATAAAGTTGTAAACTGCAAGTTCCTCGTAGGACCTGAACAGAGCTTGCCTCTGTTTGCATAAAATCTGCAAATATAACTTGATTTGCTAACCCAAATTGTGATCTGCAGGAAATTGTAACTGAAGTACAATAGGAAATAGTGCAAAAGAGTCTGTAAGTGACTGGATGTGATG